CCCATCGGCAGAGGGGATGGCGAGGTTGCGATTGCGATACTAGAGAATCAGCCAACGACAGATGACACACCTACTAGCTAGAGTGCGGGTATGGACTAGCGGGGTCTCACATACACTAGTGAACAACGAAAGGAAGTAAAATTCACGTCACAATCACGCCCCCTCCCCACACACACAGGCACATAAAGTCCATTCCATATACACAGTTTCACGCATACAAATGAAACAGCAAAGGCAACGTCGCCAGTATAAACGCGCACATCCAGTCGCGTCACTCGAGTACGCGCCAGGCGTTGCGCAGTCCTAGACCGGCGAACACGGGGCTGCGAAGTGGTGCAAGGCGCAAGCTTGAGTGACGACACGACTGGATTTCTTTGAGCAGCACCGTAGTACTGCACAGGCAGAACATTTCGTCGGTCAATTATTTCGTCCAACTCCAACGAAAGGGAGCTCGTCCGGTTGTAAATTTCGTCCATGGATCATAAGAGTGTATTGAAAAGCTGGACAAATCAACATTAGTCCGGCATTTAATTTAGTCCAAAGGCTCCTTGGACGAAAAAGACGAAATTAAAATCCAGACGAATAGTTCTGCCAGTACAGTAGTAATCTTGACACCAGTTTGAGAACATACCGGGGGTGATTGCAGCAGTCACACTCGCTCTGCTCTCATTGGGCAGTAAGTGATATCTTCTCGTCAATATGAAAAACCTACCATTGAGAGAACAGACTCAGACTCGCTCTGCTCTCATTGGCCAGTAAGTGATATCTGCTCGCCAATGTCCACAACCAAGAGTAGATAAACAAGAGTGTACAACTCGCGGATGGGTAGGCCCACGGCGGGATTTTTTTGTTGGATGTTACCTTTTCTACAACGCACTCGCTGCGAGTCTTTTCGGAAAGTTTTGCCTTGTGCACTTGGCCGGGCTTTACACTACAAGGCCGGTGCCCGGCATGTGCTCTCGCACTGCCCTGCGGCAAAATACAGTACCTTGTCTGTATGTCGATCTCCCGATACCAGAATACAATCTCTGCCAAAGGAGGAAGCATGCAGAACCAGGGCCAGACAAACATAGTCATCCAGCGATCTGCAGGCCATGGCGGGGCGGCAAACGAGAAAAGAGGCAAAACACACGCACACGTGCACACACACACACACACACACACACACACACACACACACACACACACACACATGTAGCGGTTTATTCACGGATGACACCATTCCACAGCCAGCTTGAAAGGTTAAGGAATGGATAAATCACTTTTATCTAGCCACGTACAATGTACAATGTAGGTCTGTTGCACAGCGTATTTGCAATCCCAAGAAGCGACATTGGTCTGCAAAGTAAGTTACTACCTAACGATTTTCCTCGATTGATCATATGCCATGCAAAACACTTTTATTTAAACGATATTCTTTATTGAGTGCTGATAAGTTCCTTTTTTGTGTTGTGCATTAGATTCGCTATCAACGATATGTCCGGGCGCAACCTCTGCAATGTCAACCTGGGTTTTGTTGAACATGCCAACATGGTCTCCCTGGAGGAATTGATCGAAATGTTCCAACGCCATTCCGGCTACATGCCGCAAGTTTTAGTGGGAAAAACAAGCGGCATTGTGTATCGTTGCGGGGAAGCGAAGCTGATCGCATGATGCGATCGAGTTTTGGTCGTCCAGACGCATAGCTTCTTTTCCAACCCTGTGGAGAAGTATGAAGAGGGCCTCAAGCTGTCGACGGGACTCCACAACATCGAAGTCCGTGATACAATGTGCGGACGGTCTGCGTTTGCCGCAAATGACATTTCTGAGGGAGGGTTCGTATGCGAGTATGTGGCGGCAAAGCCAGAACTTCTGCCCGAGGAAGTGATCAAGGCCAGGGAAGCAGAATACGAAAGGCGTGGATTGGGCTGCTACATTCTGCAGTGCCGGCAAGCCTGCTCTCAGCTTGTGTTCGATGCGACGGAAACAACACTGGCTGAGAGCAGGTTTATCAACCATGCCCCCGAACGTTCCCGCAACAACAATTTGCTCCTCATGAGCGTTATTGTGGCGAGAGGGCAGAAGATGGTGGGTTTTGTGGCGAAAAGGGAAATAAGGAAAGGAGAAGAGCTTTTCTTCGACTACGGTGTGCGGGACAAGGCATTGCCCTGGTTGTCGTCCCGAGCGTTAGCCTCAGAGAAAAGGCCAGCACGATCATCATCATCATCAGAGGATGACTCCCCTCCGAGGAAGGTCATCCGACTTCCTTCTTCTTCTTCATCATCATCACCGAGGGCCCCAGCAGCCTCCGGTTTGGACCCCGGACGGCGGCAGCCTTCGGTGGCCCCGGCAGCCTCCGGAGCCGCCGCAAGGTTTCATCATCATCATCATCATCATTAGAGGATGACTTCACTCAGCCACCTTCCTGTCGACCTGTCAAGAGGAAACGAATTTCGTCGTCGTCGGACTCCGAAGTGGAGATTGTGGCTGTAAAGCCAGCTCAGGGTAGGACGACATATGTCTGTCCCCGATGCGGAAAGCAGTCCAACCGCATGGCCGAGCACCTCTTGAGGGCCCACAAGATCCAGTCCTTGACCGAAAGACAGGCAATCATTGACGGGTCCGAAAAGATTGAATCAACATCCCCACCTTCACCAACCCAACCACAACAACCTTTTGCGCAGTCCACGCAAGCGATGTACCTGACCACAATCCGGAAGATAGCAATGTACGTGGACAAGGATTGTGTGTCTGTGGCCAATATTCTGAACACGAAGGCTTGCTCGCAATATTTGGAGGAGGTCAGAGCGTGCGGGGTCGGGCCATCAGGGCTAACGACGGCGTGCGATGCCCTGTTGGCCGCCCACAGGGGCCATCAGGGCTAACGACGGCGTGCGATGCCCTGTTGGCCGCCCACAGGGGCCATCAGGGCTAACGACGGCGTGCGATGCCCTGTTGGCCGCCCACAGTTTCCTTAAAGTACCACGGCTGACGAACCCCAGCTAAAAAACATAAAAAAATCAAAAAAAGACATTCAAGCTGTCCGTCTCGTCTACCTGAAGCTGAAGAAAACCCAGAGTTTGCTGCGCATGGAGGACGACGCAGACAAGGACGCTGACTTCTCCTCCATCTCAGCCTTTCTCAAGAACCCCGAGGTAACGGAGGACATCGAGCGCCTGATGTCTGAACCTCGGACACCAGACGCACACCGACACCTTGTCCACTACCTCGCGGTGGCATTGGCGTTGGCCAATGGGCAGAGGCCGAGTGCAGTCATCAACATGACCCATGATGAATACGAGAAAGGAGTGAAAAAAATGGGCGACGACGGCAAACTGGTGGTGGGGGTGAGAAATCACAAGACCGGGGCTACCCACCTTGCGTTTGTGTGCGCAGACGGGATCCAGTTGCGTGCCATGATCGGCACTACAATCATCAGTGTCGGAGACTGATGGCCGCCAGCAGCGACGCCTTTCTTCTCCTCCCGAGCGGTGGACAGATTGAGTCCAAGGACCATAGCAAAATGGTGACCTGGATCGGAAAGAAGTGCGGACTCAAGATGTCCACTGCAACGGAGGGGAGGAAGCTCATAGAGCCAAAGGTCCACGTCAGCAGCGCCTTCTCTGAAGCTGATGCGAAGCGAGTCAGCAAGGCATTGTGTCACTCAGAGAAGATTAACCCTTTGAGAGCCGACCAATAGGCAATACTTGAATTCAGCTGTGAAACTTCCAACAGGCCGTAACTCGGTCAAAACTAGCTCAAATTCTACGATCCAAATATCTAGGCCGAAGAGTAACTCTCAGCATTCCATAGAACCCATCCGCGAAGCGCTGCGATCAACGGTTCCCGAGATAAATCGCTCGCAAGTTCAGCCGCGATCGCAGCAGCTTGAAAAGCACGGTGTGCCACGCGAAAGATGAGATTTTTCGAGACTTTTTCTCATGCTGAGTTACTCAAATTTGTGTGGGTCTCACTGGTACAGTGGTATTGCAAAGAGTACACCGTGAAAAAAATCAAAACTCTGTGATCGAGAACAATGATAAACAGTCTGGATTGCGTGACAAAATATTCTGGGTGCGGCTTATAATCCAGTACGGTTTAATAATTTAGGGGTGAAACAATTATACCGAATATTCGAATACTCGTTTGGATTTTTCAAATATAATCGTACTCGGAATAAATCAGAGTACTCGCTCATACATGGTACATGCATTTGCCACCGAAGTCTGCATTTCAGAGCAGCAGTCAGCAGATATTGATGTGCAGACTGTGTGGTGAGCACTTGTACACTAGTAGAGAGAGCCCAAATGACCCAACAACCAATACACCCGAGAAAAGGACTGCCAATCGGTTTAATCAGGGTTGTATCATGTGATTTTTAAGGCCGTTGGTGTGCGATTTTTAGGATATCAAGAATACTCGAATACTCGAATATTCGATCGGAGAAAATCAGAGTACTCGAACTCGGGTTCTCAGTGCCAACTTTCACCCCAACGGTTTATACTCCGGAAAATACGGTACTTGGTCTGAGCCAGAGATGCTCACAGGGGGTTATGCAAAGCAGAAAAGAGTGCACAACTCTCCGTACCTTTGGCCTTGGCCTAAGTAGAGGCAGGGGAACATTGAGAAGCACGCCTGCATTTCATGTTCTGGTATAGCGTTGGAGCGCTTTGAGATGACTAGCAGCGGATTCTGATAACCGGCTTGGTGCAGCAGATCCCAGCACCCTTGAAGCTGAGTAAATGGGAAGGAAGGAGAGACAGGCAGGCAGGCAGGCAGGCAGAGAGAGAGAGAGAGAGAGAGAGAGAGAGAGAGAGAGAGAGAGAGAGAGAGAGAGAGAGAGAGAGAGAGAGAGAGAGAGAGAGAGAGAGAGAAAATGAATTCTTCTTTTTAGAAAATTGGGTGTTTCTCGCATACCTTCATTCGCTGTCGCTTTATGCCTTCTTTTTGATGGTTTCTGTTGCTCATTTGGATTGAAATAAAAACGTTTCGCCCAGTAAATGAGTCCAGTCGATAGACACCCTTAGGAAATAACGGTACCGCTATTTTTTTTACGGTACTCGTACCTTCATCACCCATATACATTAAAGCTGCAGCGTAAAACCGTTATAGGGGATGATTTAGCGTTCTGACAAACGGTACGTTTTTGACCAACTATTGAGCAGTGCGTACCCATTTCATCTTGTATCGCGTATATGGTGCCATAAAATTACCATTTAATGGTATGCACTATGTGAAGGGAACGCTGGTCACCTAATTCTACATTACACCTGAAACCTGGCAGGTCTCTGGCACCGACATTTTGATGTACCTAAAATCACCTGTTTGGACAGTACTCCTCAACGCGACAAGACCCAATCAGCACTATCTGCGGAAGACGTCGACAGCTCTGGCCGGGCCATGTTGTTCGCGAAGGACCTAACTCGGCGTCCTACCAAGCACTGGAGATGGCAATTAATACCCGGGACATCAAGCGCCCGCGTGGCTGACCCCATCTCAGATGGATTGACAATATTAAAAATGATATAAAGCACGCCAATCTTGATGTTTCTGACTGTTCTGAACTGGCTCTAGACAAGAACAAATGGCTGATGCTTGTGGAAAAATGTGCTGCGCTTGCGCAGTGGTTCTTACTACGATATGTTCTAACAATACTGAGATGCCTTTGTTGGCTCGTCTGCCTGGATTTCGTTGACAGATGCGTTAAGATCCTTCCACGAGTGACATGCGAACTGTTACTATTATTACTACAGGTGGAACCTCAAAATGCCAGGAAAAAGTTTCTAACTATCCGGACATTCTAATTATCCAAACATGCACCCACAACACAATATGTATGTTGAAATGCTCTCGTGATCACGCAGAGTTGCGCTATGGACCTTAGACACAGATTTCACGGATACTGAACTGACCGGCACAGCCTGCTCATGCAAACGGAACTGACCAGTACAATGTACAGTGAAGTTCGAATTACACTTTGCTAACTTCGAATTATCAGCACAAATTCCACACATTTTCTATGTAAGTGGAATCTGTGGGACTTCTAATTAACCGGACGTATCCAGTTCGAGGTTCTAATTATCACATTTTTTTATGTGGGAATCATATTGATAGAAATCGGTCCTGCAAAAACTTCTAATTAAGCGGTATGTTCGAATTAAGCCATATTCGTATTACAGTCGTCCCTCTCTAATCCGTCACTTGTTTATCCGGAACCCTTGCCAACCGGCGCACTTTCTGACGAAACCAGACCTTCATGTAAGAAAAATCCAGGAGAGTGAACAATCACTCTCGCTATCCTCTCAAGGAGAGTGGTGGGAGAGCAGTCCCCCCCCCCCCCCAAAAAAGTCGCTTGCCTTATCTATCCAAGGCGAGCACAATACGGGTTTTTTCAACATCTTGCCATACCCCAATCGGATTCAATACCCAATAGCTGCCAAATTCGTTCTGGAAAATCGCCGTACGCACTACAAATGAAAGCTGTTCGGACCACAACTTTAGTTTCCCTTCATCAGGGACAATGACACGCGCAATGGGAAATTGAGACAATTCGCTAAGAAGTAGGGGTGAAACAATTATACCGAATATTCGAATACTCGTTTGGATTTTTGGAATATAATCGTACTCGGAATAAATCAGAGTACTCGCTCATACATGGTACATACATTTACCACATAAGTCTGCAGTTTCAGAGCAGCAGTCAGCAGATATTGATGTGCAGACTGTGTGGTGAACATTTGTACACGAGTAGAGAGAGCCCAAATGACCCACCAACCAATACACCCGAGAAAAGAACTGCCAATCGGTTCAATCAGGGTTGTATCATGTGATTTTTGAGGCGGTTGGTGTGCAATTTTTAGGATATCAAGAATACTCGAATACTCGAATATTCGATTGGAGAAATTCAGAGTACTCGAACTCGGGATCTCAGTGCCAACTTTCACCCCTACTAAGAAGTAAGATCAATGGTATTTTGTAGTATTCATCGTGGAGCGCTCCTTTAGTTTGAGGCTTTGTACTGTAGCTGACGGCTAAAGACCTGTGCCTGGCGTCACACGTACACAGGTCTATGCATGCCCGGACTGTCACGCAACAGAGGGAAATCCTTCAAGATACTATGATTGCCACCCAATTGCGGAAGTGAAAATTTGCAACGGTACGTAAAATACCTTGCGAGTGCCATAACTCCACTATTGGACCTCGGATCGACTTCCGATTTGTTGGAGCCGACAGCTGAGAACTTTCTAATGCGAATAGATCTTTCGATTACTCGATTCCGTTCAGGGAAAGCCGAGTTACGAAATAATTGAGTGTTTTCAGAACTTCATAGTGATGCGGATGCGCTCGAAATTCTCAAGGCGCGCGACGAAAAGTGCGCCCTAAAAGAAAATAAGGAGAGCGAAGGCGCGCGAGAGCGATCGCTCTCCTTTTACCAGATGGTCTGCGAAACCGATTTTTTCGTTCAATTCCTACATCTTAATCCGGCACTTGAATTCCGCCTCCGGCAGTGACTTTTTGAAACGAATCGCTCAAACTGCACGTAGTTTGATTTCATAATCCGGCAGTCGTAAATCGCGTATCGTACAGGTGCACTCCTTGCCAGGCCAGGCTAGGCCAGTCAGGTCAGTGCCGCGCGCGCACTTCAGAATTCAGTTCAGTTGACAACTGTACTCGACCTCGCACGGGAGAGTTCAGTTCGGTTGGTTGTTAGGACTTTTCTGAACCCTAACTCAATTTATACAAAGAGAAAGACCAAGGAACTACAAGTTACGCTATACTGTCCACTAACACCACCAGTTACTAAACAATCAGCTCATGCGATAACATTGCACGACACTGACCGACGGTACTGACGTTCTACAACTAACTACAACGTTCGACCTGCATGATGTCAACTGCTTGCGTGGCCTTCTCAAGAGAGTCAACGTTGTCCAGGAAACAAGGGCTAGCAGTCAACCATACTTTCTTATTTTAGCAAGGAGTAGTGTCCTGCCAATTTTCAGGTGTGTGTGCGTGTGTGTGCAAGAGTACATGTGAACATGTTCTCTGTTTTACTTTATCACTTTATCACTGTGTATATTCCTGGAGAACAGTAGAGAATATGAAGCCGTGCACCAAATACTTGGGTCGACACGGAAAAACCCTGCGTTTTGACGTATGCTACATGCATGCAATTGGGTAGGGCCGGGTCAGAGGGCAGGATTTCTTAATCCAGCACCCTCGTTAATCCAGCAGAAAACGCCGTAGCAAAAGGTGCCGGATTAGAGAGGGACGACTGTATCAGGATTCCACCTGTATTACAGTAAAACTTGTGACTAAAGACCAGCCTGATACTACAGACCACTTTGCCAGGCGCGGACGGTCTCACATCCATATAATTATGGTTGTGCGGTGCACGCCTCTAACTAAGGACCTCCTGCCACTAAAGATCGCTTTCTCTGGGCCTCAAGTGGTGGTCGTTAGTCACTGGTTTTACTGTATTATTAGCATCCCCTGGTCCTGGTTGCAGTGGTCTTTTCGGACACAGGGTTGCCTGATCCGAGTGGTTGCCATGGCAGGTTTTACTGTAGTTTGAAGAAAACAAGCTGCCCAGAGGCTGAGAGCGAGAGCGAGAGAGAGAGAGAGAGAGAGAGAGAGAGAGAGAGAGAGAGAGAGAGAGAGAGAGAGAGAGAGAGAGAGAGAGAGAGAGAGAGAGAGAGAGAGAGAGAGAGAGAGAGAGTGGGACAGTGAGAGAGTGAGAGTGAGAGAGTGTGAGAGAGAGAGAGAGAGAGAGAGAGAGAGAGAGAGAGAGAGAGAGAGAGAGAGAGAGAGAGAGAGAGAGAGAGAGAGAGAGAAAGAGAGAGAGAGGAGAGAGTGAGAGAGAGAGAGTGTGTGTGTGAGAGAGAGAGAGAGAGAGAGAGTGTGTGTGGGGGGGGGGGGGGGCGGGGGGAGGGGCACTGTTAGAATTATGTGCATGCATGCTGAAGATTGTGTTGGTGCTTCTCTCTGCTCAAGTAACTGTATCTGGCTGGACTTGTCACTTGTCCATGGTTCGACATCCGGTGCGCAGTGGCGTCACGTTCCCGTGAAAGTCAATCCCGCTGACTTTCCAAGCCGCGGCCTCACTGCCGAACAGCTGGTCAAGAGTGCAGTCTGGTGGTCAGGACCAGAATTCCTGGCGAAAGAAGAAACAGAATGGCCAGTACGCGAAATCGTCGTACCATCACAAGTATCTGGAGAGACAAAGCACTCAGTAGCGTCTGTGTTTGTCTCGTTACCAGCGGACTCTGCACAATTCCGACTGGCGCCGACTCGGTATTCGCCATGGAACCAACTTCTACGAGTTACGGCGTGGTGCCTCCGGTTCCTCAGCAACTGCAAGAGGTCTGTCAACACTCACAAAGCCAGCAATAACTGTACATTACACCGGTTGCTTGAACCTCTGCAAGGCTGCGATGCCGAGTCAACCATCGAGCTTACAGGTGGCAAAGCAGTTCAAGCAAAGGAGCTGTCAGCCAAAGAGCTTGGACGTGCTGAGAGATACTGGCTCCGAACAGCTCAACACGAGTGTTATGGTGACGCCATCAGCCATCTGGAGCGAGAATAATAAACCACTGGCCAACGGCGATCCACTTCTGTTGTTGAATCCCTGTCAAGTACAAGCGTATATCCCCACGTGATGGAAGTACGAGGTCGGCTTGACAAAGCTGCTAGTCAAGTCACACGTCATGCTCGACGTCCGATCATCCTGCCGAGAAAGCACCGAATCACGTCGCTTGTGATAGCGGCCGAAGACGAGAAATGTCATCACGAGTTCGGCGTCAACGATGTGTTGGCCAACATCAGACAACGCTACTGGATAGTCGGTGGGAAGCAGGCCACCAAGTCGTACCGTCAGCGTTGTAACATGTGCAAGCTAAAATGGAACAAGCCAGCTACTCAGCTCATGGGACAACTTCCTCGAGTGCGTGTTGCCATCACCGAGCGTGCGTTTTCCAACATCGGAGTGGATTACGCTGGGCCATTCACTACCAGAAAAGGT